GGCCTGGCACGTAGGAGGCACCCAATAAATTTTCAGTTACTAGTTGACTACTAAGAGGCAAAGGACCACAGGGCAGCCAAAAGGTCAGCAGAGGCTTGGTGACGGGATCACCTCTCTTGTGTCCTGCTCCAACCTCTTCTTCCTTATTTGTTCTAATCCTGGCTTCTTTAGGATCCCATATTTCCATATGAAAATTTCAACATCTTTTAAATTACTTAAACAATTGACTCGGAGTCTTTCCTCTGCCCAATTTATTTTTTTAAGCTTTTTATTCTCTTAATAGCTAAAGGGGGTAGTGGATAGGGAGATGGCCCAGGAAGACCAGAGTCCTACCTCTGACACTCACTGGCTGTGTAATGCTGAATGAATCTCTCCACTTCCCTGTGCAGAAGAGGTACTCACCTACACATCGTCTGTGAGATGCTTGTAGATTTAATAATCACAGGTCCAGTCCCTAACCCTAAACTAGACTGTTTGGAAAGACATTTACTTCATAGGACCTTTCAAGCCACCTAATCCATAGGCTTCAACACACATCAGAGTTGCCATCCATGCTTTTTTTTTTTTGAGGCAATCAGAGTTAGGTGACTTGCCTAGGGTCACATAGCTAGTAAGTATCATGTATTTGAGGCCGAATTTGAACTCAGGTCCTCTTGAGTCCAGGGCTGGTGCTCTATCCCCTGCATCACCTCATTTCCCCCAGTCTCTGCTTTTTTTATTAACAGCAGACAAGAAACTAAAGTTGTATTTGCTCTAAATCAGCTGTCAGATTATGGAAGGTGAGATACCACAGCAGCAGAAAAAGGTCAGTGTAATGGAACCAACCAATAGAGGATCAGTAAGGTCAGTACACTGGGCTGCAGCCCCAAGATTAGCCTCAAAGGGACTTTTGAGCAATTAGAGCCACTTCAAAGTGCAACCAGCTGACGGGGCCAGGAGCCCTCTGGCTCCTTAGAGGTTTGCAAGGTAGGGATTGTTTTTAGATACACAGCACCTGCTATGACTGTTGGATTCCCTTGGATATCCTAGAGCTCAAGGGACTTGGCTCCCACCCTTTGGACATGGCCTTCCTGGCCATTCTCTCCAGGGTCGGACACACCTCCTTTCATAGCCCCCAAAACACTTAAGCAGGAGAATAGTCCAGCACCACCCTTCAAGTCCAGCATCACCCTTCAATAACCTTTCTTCTTTTCAGATTCAGTGCATCTAAATCAATAAATCCATCAAAATTCTGGGGGACATCCTCTATGGACCCCCAGGTCAGCCTATCCCTCCTTTTTCTAGAAGTCCAAGACCTGTTTCACAGGCTTCCTCTCCCCAGCCCAAGCCATATCATTATATACAGGGATTTCAGTTATCTATTGAGGTTCCTCAAAACACCCCAAACTCCTAATTCCTCCTTTCTCAGCTCCCATGACCTATGCCTCCACTCTGCCTCAGACAGACACAGGGATGGCCACACCCTCTGTCTCACTATCATCTACCAGTGTTCCACTTTGGAATCAAGAATTCCAAAATCCCTTTGTAACACCAGCTTCAGTTTACAATATCTTTGAGATGGAATGTTGAACAGCCCTGATGAGATTGAGCACTTAACAGTTGTCCTAGACTGCCTTTACCTGCAATGAATGAAGAGGGGAGAGAGGAAAAGGACTATGAAAATGCGGTTCGTGAGAAAATGGGGTTTCATGCTTGTCTGGTGAAGAAATAGGAAGAGAATTTGGGAGAACATACTTTGGTCGGTGTCCTGAGAGAGCTGATTGATCCCTTGACCCCTGGCCTCTTATGAGTGCCTCCTGTGAGCTTTAAGTCTCTCCTGAGACCCCTCTTCTAATCCTAATCTTCCACTCAGCTGAGTGTTTGACATAGAACAGGTCTGATCTGGTCTTCCTCTGCACAATCAATTCTAATGGCTCCCTATTACCTGCAAGGTGGTAACCATGCCTTTGTTTGGCAGGTAAGCTCTTCCCCCCTTTCCCACATTCTAGATTCTCCTTCCTCCCACAGACTCAGGGATTCAGCTCTACTGGTTCACCCACAGCCCTCCATATCCCATATCTGTGCCTTTGCAATGATAGCTCCACGTTCTCACCATGTCGTTTCTCCCGAATTCTGCCTTGCAGAATTCCTGGCTTCCTTGAATTGTAAGCTCATGTTACCTCTAGAAATCTTTTTCCAGGTCCCTCCCTGAAAACCTGAAGTAGGTGAAGCTGGACATGTGAAAAAGTAACATTGTGTCCCTGGACTACCCAGAAGTGCATGGCTCAGAACTTTTAGCCAGGGAAGGAAACAGGCAGCTTTCTTCTGTTACTGGTGAGGGGGCCAATGACCAAAACTGGGGTCTTCATTGACTTCCCCTACATGGTCTGAAAATTCAGACTCTTCTCCATAGCATGAAAGGCCCTCTCTGTTTTTCTGCCCTATCCCTTCCTTTTTTTGGCATTATCTCCTATTAGTCACACCCATGTTCTTTAGGGTCTAGCCAAAATTGTCTCTCTGCTTTCTGAATGAGATCTTAGGTTCTCCCACTACTTTGCCTTTGCTCAGGCTGTACCTTCTGCCTGGAATGCCCTTCCCCCTGCTTTTTCCCTGCTGAATTACCATCCCTCCTCGAAAGGCAAACCTCCCTCACTCCTTCTACCAGTGATGACTTCTCATGGAATGTGTTTGTATTTTATCCATTATCCAAGGAGCTCCAAGAAGACATGAATGGGCAGATCTGATGCTGTCTTCCCTCCTCGTGTTGGCTGGCTGCTTCCTAATAGGTCTTCAGTTTTGTTTTAGCCTAGAGCTGGGCTAGCCTGTGCTACGGAGACTCCCCCTACAAATGTGGACATTAACGACTCTCTGTATGTTGTAACCTTATAGCGGCATCCTCAAAACCTCTTGGTCTCTGGTCCCCTTTACTCGCTTGAAATCCCCCAAGAGTGTTTGTGTCTGTGGGGCGTGTCTCTCAACAGTTACTGCATTCAAAGTTAAAACATCTGTTCTCTCTTGATATCACCATTACAACTCTACATGTATTCTTGTGTGCTATTATTGTGGAAATAGTTTGACTTCACAGATCCCTCGAAAAGTGTCCCCAGAATCCATCACCTTCCAGTTTCCTGGGCCAATCTAGGATTAGAGTTCAAGCTGGAGGTTAGGGTAAGGGTTAGGTGCCTTTTCCAAGGCAGAATGTGTCAGTGGCAAGACTGGAACCCAGGCCTTCCTAACTCCAAAGCCACCCCCACTCCCACCATCACATTACCTTTGCTGCTGGTATGGCTTTGGTTTTCATCCAGCACTGACCCTCCCAGGGTGGCTTTCCTTGTCTTTCTAGGGAATTAAAAACCCTCAGGAATTCTGAGAAGTTACTATACTGGCCCAAGGGGGCAGAAGGGAAAGAGGCAAGTGGCTGCCTAACCCAGTCAGAAATCTGGCCTTGGGTTCAAAAAGTCCTGCCTCTGATGCATATTGAGCCTATGACTCCATGGCCCCAGAAGCCTTGGTGAAGGGCTCTTCCTTAGAGGATGTTCCCTACACCCATTAAATCGCAGGTGTGGAAGAGGAAAGGGCAGAAAGCCTAGAAACTAGTTCTGTGAACCAGACCTGAGGTGACTGTGCAAGGTCCATGATTCCTTGCTTCTTCCATTAAATCTGTGAAAGGGCAGCAGCAGAGGCTTTGGTAGACAAGTGTGACTCAAGACCCTTTCCATTCACCTGTGCACCCCATCCACTTTCCCACTTCAGAGAAACAGCATCTCTGAGGGGCAGGAACCTTCGTGACCATGCAGCCCAATGCTTCCCATGCCCCCAACTCCAGCATGTCCAACCAGGGGTCATCCAGCCCAGAACAGGTCTCACTGAGAGGAAGGGTTCTCTGACCTCACACCCAAATTCATCTCTTTTCAGCTTCTACCATGGACAGAGCCCAACTACTGTGTCACCAGTTAGCTCTTCTCCAGACTAGACTGACCTCATTCATTTAATTGACCACGGATGTCCCAAATCCCAGACCAGGCATGTTGGCGTTCCTTCCAGAATCTCTGAGTGGGACCCCTTCAGCCCATCCCTGAATCAGTGTGACTCTTGTCACCAACCTGGCTTTCCTCTACACTCTGGCTTATCGAACCCTATCAATTTCCTTTCTTAACAACCGTAATGCTCAGAAATGGAGACAAGATTCCAGTTCTGAACACTGAGGAGGGCAGAGGGACTTCAGGCAGCTAGGTGATACAACAGTGGAAAGAGCACTGGGCCTAAAGTCAGGAAGAGCTAAGTTCAAATCCAGTCTTAGACACTTACTAGTTCTGTGACCCTAGGCAAGTCACTTAACCTCTGTTTGCCTTAATTTTCTCAAGTATAAAATGGGGATAATAAAAGCACTGTAATTCCTTCCTTCACATGTGTCTTTGCCTGATTCCTGCCTCTCAATTCAGCCCTCCCACTGGGGGAGGGGGAAGTCAATAAGCATCTATACAGCACCTACTATGAGGCAGGCTCTGTTCTAAGCACTTTACAGATAGGTCATTTGGTCCTCACAACAACTCTGCAAGGTAGGTTCTATTATCATCCCTACTTTACAATTGAGGCAACTGAGGCAGTCAGGTTAAGTGACTTGTCCAGGGTTACGCAGCTAGTAAGTAGCAGGCTGAACTTAAACTCAGGTCTTCATTGCTGCAGGCTTGGTGCCCTGTGCACTCTGGCGCCACCTAGCGGCCATAGGCCTGTTTGGCCAACACATCCCCCTGCCACACACACAGCTCCATGACGTTTTTTCTCTTGAATTCCTCTCCTGTCATCTGTTCCCCTGCCCCCATGCAGTCACGGCTCTCCCAGTTCTTCCTGGATCCCCTTACCTTTCTTAGCCTCACCCCACCATGGGACACGGAGGTCTCCTCTGGCGCTTCTCCTCCTATCCCTGCCCAGGAAGGTCCTAGCCTTGGGGAAGGACGCCTGCTCAGAACACACTCCAGCCCTGGAACGAGGGTTCTTCAAATGGGTGAATCTGCCTTCTCTGTACTCCCCTGAGGTCTGTCCTCTCTGCATGTGTCTGTCTATCTGTCCTCCCTCAGCTTCCAGCTGCTGGGTCTCTCTCTGAGATGGGCAAGGATGACTGTGGGGAAGATAACAAAGAACAGAGCCCCCACCCAGACCCCTTTTCATTCTGTGATTGATTCCACTCCAGGGAAACATTTAGGGTTTATTGAGCCATACACAAATACTGACTGGGGGTCCTCCAAACTTACTGATTAAATGACCTAACTGGTGGGCAAGGTGGAGAGTTGGGGAGGGGGACTTGAAAGCAACTCAGTCTATGTGATGGGGAGTGGGGAATATTCCTCCTGCTAAGTGAGGTGCTGAGAACCCTATGGGAAGGTGGGGGGGAACCCTTCTGGAAATGAAGACCCTGTGAGGTGGAGCCTTTCAGGAAGGAAGAGTGTGTTCCTTCCATGATGCAGCATGGATTCTCTAGATTGGGCTAAATTAATTCAGGTGGGGGGAGTGTATCCCTCCAGGAACAGAAGAACCCCACAAGATTTTCAGGATCCCTCTAAAAGGAAAGAGGCATAGCCCTTTGGAGATGGATTCTTCCAGGTCTGGTGGCAGATCCCTCCAGGGCCAGAAAGTAGATTCTACCAGGAATAGGGAGGGGTGCACCCCTGAAATGGAAAGGAATACTTCAGGGGGTTGGAAATGGATTCCTCTAGAGTGGGGAAGATGCCTCCTGGAGAAGGAAGTCACTTCAGGATCCGTATGCTCATTTTGTGTCCGACGTTCATCTTGTCTAAGGACTGATGGGGAGAAGCAGAGCCCTCAGCCCCTAGGATGCTGTATCCCCAAATCTCATCACCCTTACTGCCTCCTAAACCTTTCCTCCCTTCCTGCCCCCAACCCCACCACTACTCCAGGGTCCTATCTCTGCCCCTAGTATTTCCCCCATCCTACTGCCACCTCTGAGTATTCAAGCCTTCAGCCTCCCATGATGCTGGTCACCACTAACCCTGGTAAACTCCTCAAAGGACACAGCTCCACCCCCATCCTCATCAGCTTCTTGCACCGTCCGGGATGCAATGACCTCCAACTGCTCATCTGTCACCTCGACCCCAACTATCAACCTCAAGACCTGGCAGCACCCATAGAGAAGAAAGTGTGGAAATAAATCAGGCCAAGTTACTTCCAGATTTTCCAAAAATGCATGCTTACCCCATCCCTGTGCATAACCACATAGCCCAAACCACTCATCCCCAATGATCCATTGCCATCATCAGTTACCCCCACCACCACCCCTGCACTCCAGCCATCCCTGCCAACCCCGTCCCCTACCAATGGTTATACCAGATGCCACAGGACCAGGGAGGAACATGGGGGATGAGGGTGGGGAGGAGGCATCCATATGCGCCTCTGGGTTCACATTAGACATACAAACACCACACACAGAAACAGCATACATATGAACACACACACACACACACACACACACACACACTACCCTCACAACTCCTTCTCCAACCTGTAACATCTCTTTCTTTGAGATCTTTCCATCACAGTCTAGGTCATAGAGCTGAAAAGCAACTAGATGGGAAAAAGAAAGTGAGGTCAGGACAGGGATGGGGCCCTCTTCAGTCCTCTCCTGTCGTCTGCTAGAGGCCCTGCTTCCCCAGGTCCAGACCATGCTACAGTCACACAGTGGCTGGAATCAAAGATCTGGCATTTGCTCCAGATTCTGACATCCCAGGCTGAAGCTCCCTCTCCTCTTTGGTAGTGTGGCGCCCTCTTGGCCACTCCTAGCCTGCCAACTGCCTCCGGTCCAGATTGCCACCCAACAAGATCCCTTCCCCAGGACCTATCTTCCTAGGGGGTTAAGTTAGACAAGCAGATGCTTGGCAATGTGAGCGATCATTGGGCCTCAGTTGGGGAGATCAGAGTGGTACCAGCTACCACCCCTGCTCTAAGGAGGCTTAGTCCCCTCCTACCCCAGTCACTTACCTCCTTTGTCCTTCCTCACATCACTGCGCAAGAGTCCAAGACACCACTGTTGTTCCCGGATCGAGAGTCATCCTGCCCCCTCACTCCCCCCAAATGTCCTACCAGTCACTAACTCTGGTGGATTCCACCTGCACAATACCCTTTCTATCCATCCCCTTTCTCCAAGCACTCACAGGCACCTCCCTACTGAAGCGCTCCCTCATCCCCTCTCTCCTGGACTCCTGCCTTCACCTCCTAATTGAGCTCCCATTCTCATCTCTCCTCTCCAATTCAGCCTCCTCAAAGCTTCCAAGCTGCTTGTCTTAAGTCATGGGTCTGAGTGGGCATGTAGAAGGCTTCAGAGGCGGCCCGCAGTCAGCCTTTCCAGGTAGACTAGTCCTTCACAGTGCTCTTCTCTGCACACTTTCTGGTCCAGTCAAACTGGTGCTGGTGGAGCCTTTGCTTCCCTCCTCACCTCTGGCCCACCTTGCCCTGAATTCCTTCAAAGCTCACCACAAGAACTATGTCCTTTCTGCCTGAGGTCTATCCGCACCTTCTGGCCCCTGTGCTGCCTGCTCTATCTTCTGTTAACTTTCCCCCAAGAGAATGTCAGCTCCTTGAGGACAAGGATCTGTTGATGTTGGTCTTTGTGTCCCACTGCCTAGCATGGTGCCTGGCATATGCTTTAAGTGAATGAATGCCACAAAAAATGGTTGGATTGTGTGTGATCTTGGGCAGACAGTCAATCTACACCCATTTCTACGTGCCAGGTGCTGTGATTTCTCCTGTAGCCCTGATGATGGTTACCAAACCTTGTTCTTAGCCTCAACAAGATTCCATTGACACCACATTGACATAAGCAGGTGCATAGAAATAAGGTGATTTGTCTGCCTGGGCCATAGCTCTCTCATCTGAAGAATGAGGGGACTGGGTTGTCTGATTTCTGAGGTCCCTGCCAGCTCAGGCTCTAGGATCAGGCAATCACAGATCTGTCCCTCTCATGTTTCAAGGCTCACATCTTGGTCCCCTCTCACGGGTTGATAGCAGCCCCTTGTCTCCACTGACAGAGAGGGCTATGGGGATGAGTCACTTTCCTATTTCTCTTCCCACTTCCTCATACACACTCACTCAGTCACTTGGTCACTACCCCTCCTCTTCCTTTAAAAAGTTCCCTTCAACCAAACAAGAGATAGAGGACATTGTGAAATGTAAAATGGATGACTTTTGATTACATTAAATTGAAAAGCTTTTTCACAAACAAAGCCAATGCAACCAAGATTAGAAGGGTAGCAGAAAGCTGGGAAATAATTTTTACAGCCAGTGTCTCTGATAAAGGCCTCATTTCTAAAATATATAGAAAACTGAGTCAAATTTGTAAGAATACAAGTCATTCCCCAATTGATAAATTGTCAAAGGATATAAACAGGCAGTTTTCAGAGGAAGAAATTAAAGCTATCTATAGTGATATGAAAAAATCCTCTAAATCATGCAAATCAAAATGACTCTGAGAAACATGACACCTTTCAGATTGGCTAACATGACAAAACAGGAAAATGATAAATGTTGGAGAAGATGTGGGAAAATTGGAACACTAATGCATATTTGGTGGAGTTGTGAAATGATCCAACCATTTTGGAGAGCAATTTGGAACTATGCCCAAAGGGTTATAAAAATGTGCATACCCTTTGACCCAGCAATGCCACTTCTAGGTCTGTATCCCAAAGAGATCATAAAAATAGGAAAAGGACCCACATGTACAAAAATATTTATAGCAGCTCTTTTTGTGGTGGCTAAGAATTGGAAATTGAGGGGATGCCCATCGGTTGGGGAATGGATGCACAAGTTGTATATGATAGTAATGGAATACTATTGCTTTATAAGAAATGATGAGCAGGTAGACTTCAGAAAAACCTGGAAAGACTTGCATGGACTGATGCTGAGTGAAGTGAGCAGAACTAGGAGAATGGTGTACACAGTAACAGCCATGTTGTGCAATGACTAACGTTGATAGACTTAGCCCTTCTCAGCAATGCAAGGATCTAAGACACCTCCAAAAAACTCACAATGGAAAATGCTACCCACAAAGAAGAAAGAACTATGGAGTTTGAATGCAGATCGAAGCATGCTATTTGCTCTTGTTTTGTTTTCTTTTCTTTTGTTTCTTCTTTCTTGTAGTTCCTCTTATTGGTTCTAATTCTTTACAACATGACTAATGTGAAAATACAAATATGAATGTAGAAGTAGAGCCTATATCAGATTGCATGTTGTCTTGGGGAGGGGGGAGGATAGGGAGGGGGAAAAATTTAAAACTCAAAATCTTATGAAAGTGAATGTGGAAAACTAAAAATAAATAAATAGTTCTAAATAAATAAATAAATAAATAAATAAAGTGCTGGGCCTAGAGTCAGGAAAATTCATCTTCCTGAGTTCAAATTTGTCCCCAAACACTTAAAAAAATAAAAAAAAGTTCCCTTCAGTCTGCCCAGGTCATTGTGGCTGCCACCTGTGGCCTCCCAGCTCACTTTCCCTCTGCCCAGGAAGTTCAGGACCTGACCTTGTCCTTTCCAGCTCCCAGACCCTGGCCTTGTCCAATGCCCTGGACACTTGCCTCTTCATCCTCCTCCACTCCCAAGACCTTTGTCTCCAGTTGGCTTCAGACTTGCATAGGAATAATTGTGACCTGGACTCCTAGACCCTCCTAATCCTTGCTCAACTGCAATTGCCCCTGTTCAAAATGTCCTAGTCATGGCATGGGAAGGAAGCAACCTTAGTGTCCACGGCCATTGTTCAAATGGGGAAATTGAGGCTCAGAGAGGAGAAGGGACTTGCTAGTACATAAAATGAATCAGGGTCACACAGAGTTGAGGAAACAAGGGAGGTTAAACGTCAAAATGAGGATGGAGTCTCAGCGGAAATGATTTTCAGTGATTTCCCCCCCATTCCACTCACAGTGCAGTTTGTTGTTCTGGCTGTTTAGGGGCTTAGGCTTCTGGGGGTCCCCAGCAGTTGAGTCCTCATTTTCCAAGGGTCGAAAATGGGCCAGGACCCAGACAAAACCTCAGAAATCCACACACTGACCCCCGAATGAAAGAATCATGTTATCCCTCCCAAACCTCTGTCCTCAAAAGAGGTACAGGCTTCAAGTCCTGGGACCCAGATCTTAGATCTGAACAAAAAAGAGTGAATTCTAATATAAGCCTTCATCTCGATCCCTGCAGGGTCTGACCCTTGGCTGGGTTCTCTTCCCCTCAGTCAGTTCTGTCTCCTGGGGCTCCCCCTCCTCCCCAAGGCTCCATCCACTCTCCCTCTCACCTAAAGCTCTGTCCTCTCTCTGTACTCACCCATCTGGGAAAAAGCTGTTGATGATCCGATCTGTCAGTGGGTTCCTTTCAAGTTCTTTTATATTGTGTAGATCCATCTGACTGTTGGGGAAGTTTCAGGGTCAAAAGTCTAGCATCTGACTGGACTGGGAGGAAGAGGTTGGGAGGATAGAGGCAGAACAAAGTAGAAGGAAACTTTTCATAGGAGGGGGAAACCTTCCATCAAGCTTTCACATTGAGTCCAAGTGTCACAGGGGACACTGGGTGGGGAGTCAGGGACCAAGGCAACAGTCAGTCAATGCGGGGCTGGGGAAGAGGCTTGAAAGCTGAGAGGCCCAGTCCTGCACGCTCGAGGGCTGTAAAGGTGGGCTGGACTCTGCTCACCTCAAGAAGCCGTTTTTATTCTTGTCCAAGTACTGGAAGCGCTGATGAAGGCCACTGAGGTTGGCCCGAGAGACTGGAGAGTGAGAAGAGGGTAGACAATCAGAGCTGGGTGCTGGGGGTCGGGAGAGGATCAGAGTGACCCAAAGAGACTCAAGGCTCAGAATTCTCGACTCAGGAAACCAAAGCCTCAGGGTTCAGAGGGTTCAAGCTCAAGGTCTGGGACTGAGGACTCAGAGACTAGGGGTCCCAGGGTCAGGGTCTGAGGGGGCAGAAACTGCCCCAGGCTCAGAGCTCAGGGTTTAGGAGACCAGCAATGACTCAGGATCCAGGAGCAGAAAACCAGGGACAGAGAAGCTGGGCCAGGGACGGCTGAGGGTGGGCCAGGGCAAAGATCAGACCGCTTCCCCCTCTCAGCCCGCGCCCCACTCCCACCAAAGCCTTCGGGGAAGGTGACCAGAGAGACCAAGAGGCCATCCCGCCCCCCTCCCGCGCCAGTCCCCTTCAGCCGCTGGGGACTCCGGCCGCAGGGAGCTGGGAAGCTGCGTTTGGGGTCCAGTCCTGGCTTCTGCTTGGCAATCGGCTGAGCTGTGCCCCAGCCCCTCCACCCCAGCCGCCGCCCCGACGCCCGACTTCAGTCCCTGCCAGTCCTTCCGGGCGCCAGGAGCCTCGGACACTCGGGTCCGCAGCAGTCCCACTCACAGCCGGTCTCCTCTAGGATCAAGTCCAATTCGGCCTCTCTTTCGTAGTGGGAGCCGTGAGATCCCATGGCTGTGACGGGCCCTAGGTCAGGGCAGGTCCCGAGTCCAGGGTCCGGGGGCCTGGGGCCACGGCCAGGACGGGCCCAGGGCGGAGTCCCGCCAGGAAGCTCTGCCTCCTACACTTGGGCCCGGGGGACCCAGGCGTCCCCGCAGCCCCGCGCTTCAGCAGTCCCCCTCCCTCCCGTTGGAGGCGCCGAACCCTGGAGAGCGAGTCCTCCCTAGCTGGGTTCGGAGGGTCCGAGGTGGCGTCCAACCGCTGTCAGGCCATCCCGGTGTGGAGCGCACTGGCCTCAGGCCTCCCGCACTCCTCAGTCTAAGCCTGCCAGGGCTACGCAAACGGAGATCTCGCCTTAGTGCAGCCCCGGGAGAACTAGAGCAGTATTCAGGCCTGATCGTGAGAAGGCAGCCAGACTGGAAGAGTTTAGAAGAGAAAGAGGCTTAGAGAGAGCGCCAGGGTCAACCCGGCACTTTACAGACGCGAAACGGACTAACTCCAGAGGGGAAGGGCTTGAGCGGGAGAAAGGGCGCGCTTTGTCCCAAAGGCCAGCCCGAAGCCTATCCCCCCCCCAACATGTCTAAGCCTCCATCCTAAAAAAGGGCCCAAATCCCGCCCCTTCCCCCAGACTGCCTCTGACCTTCCTCTCACCGCAAAAAGCAGAAATTAAGGCTGGAAGCGGAGTGGTCAGAGGGAACCTGAGATAAAGACACGCATGGCCAGCAAATGCTGGAGAAGCAAAAACACACAAAGAGAAAGACCACAAAGAAGCAGGGGCAGGGAAACAGGAACCCTGGGGTGACAGATAGAGATGCACTGAAGGGAAACACACAGACACAAACCAGGAGAGGAGAAAGCTGATCTCATGCCCTAACCAATTAGTTCTCTTTCAGCCCAGGAGCCATTCTGTCTCCCCATCGCTCCCTCTCTCCATGGTTTACTCTTAGTCAAAGCTCAAGAGACAAACCGAGAGGTTTTGACCCCACCCTTGCAATGGAATAATAGACTTACAGAAAGATAGAAGCATTCTGTCTAACTCATCTGAGACATGGAGAGAAAACAGAAAGGCAAAGATCTGAAATCTAAAGGTCAGAAGAAGAAGAAAGGGAAGAAGAGAGAAGAGGGGGGAGCAGAGTGGTCAGGGAGAGGGAGGAGAAGGAATTGAGACTGGGGAGAGGGAGAAGAAAGACACAGAGACAGACAGAGATAGAAACAGACAGGTAGGCAGAGTCCTACGGAAGGGGGGGTGGGACACACAGAGAAACAAAGACATGAAAAAAGACATTAAAAAAAAGACATAAAAAGAATCTGGCAAAAACAGAGAATAAAGGCAGAGCCACGTGAAGGAAAGAAACCAAGTGATACCCAGAGATTTGGTAAGTAGCACAAACCCCGAGAGAGAAGTGCAGGAAAAGAAGCCCCAGGAGATGCTGAGATGTCAGTAATAGTACCAACTCTCAGAGTGAGAAGGGAGCTCAAGTACCTCTAGATTTAGAGTCCTGAAAGAACCTCCTCCTTTCTCCTCCTCCTCCTCCTCCTCCTCCTCCTGCTCTACTGAGCTAGCCCATCCCACTTTGGGCTCACTCTAATGCATCCCCCCCACACACACTATTGAGGAACTGTGACCATTCTCCGCTCTCTCTCTCTCTCTGGAGTTGGACAAGCTGGTGGGTGAGGAGTTGGAGGCTTCCCGAGGTTGTATGGATGCTGCCAACATCAGAGCTACCCCTCTGAGCATAATTAAATGTTGTAGTTGTTATAATATACGTATTATAGATAATATTACAAATAAATGTAATAGTTGATGAGGGCCTGAACTAAGGCTGTGGCTGTGAGCAGAGAGGAGGGGTTGGAGGTAAAATGTATTGTGTAAATAGAAGATTAGATATATAGGGTGAAGGAGAGTGAGAAGGCAGTGAGAAAACCATCTAGGAATCCTGAAAGAATGGGACTGCCTTTGAATTACTTTAGGGAAATTTGGAAAAAGAATCAGTTGGGTGGGGGTTAGGGGAGGAAAGAATGTATTTCACTTTTGGACATCAATTTCCATGGGATATGAACCCATAATTAGATGGTTAGATCAAAGGATATGGAGAGTTGATTAACATTCCTTCAGAATTCTTAATTGTTTTTCCCAATTCACAACTCCCAAAGCAATGAATTAGTGTGCATAATTAGCATGACTTCCCACCACCTTCCAGGGTTGATTTCTCCAACTCTTCCCACCTTTGCTAATTTGGCGGATGTAACAGGGTATCTCCGAGGAGCCTAAGTAATCTTTTGTCTCTCTCAGTCCTCAATCTTCTTGGCCTGGATGCAAGATTTGGCATTGTTGACTATTCCAATTCCTCTGCTCTTTCTTCTCTGGGTTTGGGACACAGCTCTCTCTGGGTTCTCCTTCTGATCTGCCCTCTCTTCAATTTCTTTTGCTGCCTTATCATCTTATCACACCCTCTAACCAAGGCTCTATCTCTTCCCTTTTCACTATGTCCCTTGGTGATTCAGTTTTCATCTCTTTGTAGATGACCCCCAGGTCTCTAGTTTGTCCTGTGAGCTCCAGTCCTATGACACTAATTGGCCTGGATTCCTTATAGATTGGCATCTCAAACATGTTCAAAATGATATTTTCCTCAAAACCCAATCCTCTTCCCATTTTATTGAATAAAGGAATATTTTTTCCTTGCTATATTTTCTTTTTAATTTCTTTCCAATTTTTTAACATTTTTTTAAAAAAAGTTTTGAGTTCCAAATTCTATCTCTCCTTCCCTTATCCCCTCCCTGAGATGGCAAGCAACCAGATACAGGTTATACATGTGCAATTCTGTAAAACATTTCCATATTAGTCATTTTGTACAAGAAGACTCAAATAAAAGAAAAAATGAAAGCAAGCGAGAATTAGCCTGCTTCAATCTATATTCAGACATTATCAGTTCTGTCTCTGGAAGTGGATATTTTGCTTCATCCTTAGTCCTTTGGGATTGTCTTGGATCATTGTATTGCTGAAAAGAGCTAAATCATTCATGGATCTTCACTGAACAATATTACTGTTGCTGTGTACAATGTTCTCCTGGTTCTGTTCACTTCACTCTGCATTAGTTCATGTAAGTCTTTCCAGGTTTTTCTGAAGTCATCCTGCTTGTAATTTCTTATAGCACAATAATATCCCATTATTGTCACATACCACAATTTGTTCAGTCATTCCCCGATTGAGGGGTATCCTTTTGATTTCCACTTCTTAGCCACCACAAAAAGAGCTTCTATAAATATATAAAAAAACTTCTTAAACACTGTGTGCCAAGTCCTGAGACTACAAATACAAAAGTGAGACAGTTCCTGGTCTCCAGAAGCCTACGTTCTAACATGGGAAAGACTATCTAAGTGGAAGTCAAAGGAACAGAGAAAGAATAGGGACTCTGGACCCCTTATAATTAGGACAATTGATCTGTGAGCTGCTGGTTAGAATACACAGAAAGACAGAGAGACTGGAAACATAGCAACCTGTTAGAAGGTCATTGTCATCATCTAACTGTGTCAAAAAGAAGAGTTTCAAGAAAATGTTGAGAAGGAAAAGGCCTGAGAAAAGAGCCATGGACTCGACTATTAGCAGGTCCATGGTGATCTGCTAGAGAGCAGCACCAGTAGAACTGATTGCCGTTATCCTTCCAGTTCTTTGACTATGAAAAGAAGACACAGAGAGAATGGAAATGTCAGAGCTGCTCTCTAGTCTCACACATTAGAGATGACAGATGCACACTCTGCCAAAGCACAATACCACCAGGACCATATCTTACATCCTGGAGATGTTCCATGGCCCTGCCAGAGAGGCAGACAGGGAAGGGAGTCTTCTGATTGTCTGGCCATGAGAGAACCCAAGTGTCATCAAGAAGAATGTGGAAGAGGTCCCTAAGTGCTGCAAACTCTCCTGGAACAGTAGAGAAGTGCAGGATTTCCCAATGAGGTTCTTAATTCCCTTTTCCATTTGGAAATTTTCTGGTTTATGCCTTCTAAATCTCTTTTTATATTAAACTGCTAATGGCTTGTCAATTTTATCATTCTAAGAAAAAAACCTGGAAGAATGGAGTGCACACAAATTAGGAGCCTATTAAAATGAATGAGGATGAAGGGACAGAGAATTCTGACAGGGAGTCAGAAGAAAGGTCTCCAGGGCATTGGGATACTTTATGTGTTGAAACTGATTAATTTGAATGTAAATATTTACTAAGAAATTTGGGTTATTTGGACTGATATTCAAAGTTGCATTTCTAATGAAACACTTAAAAAATGAATAGAGTTTACTGACATAGAACATGGCTAAAGCATCCCAGAATCACACCATCTCAGAGTAGTCAGGGACCTCAGAGGCCAAGAATTCCTCTATAACATTCCTGTCAAGGGGTCACCCAGTCTTCTCTGAAAGACCTCTAGGAACTCCTTATGCAGCCCGTGGAGCAACTCCAGTGATTGTGATTGTTTTCAAACTCCAATCCACGTCCCTACAGTTGCCACCCCAAAGCTTCCAAGTGGCCAAAAAGAACAAACTTAATGAACCCCCTTTGTCCTTGCATCAATTCTTTAAATACTTGGAGACCGCTAGCATGTCTCCACAAAGTCTTCTCTCTTCTCATAACTAAACCTCCCTGTTTCTTCCAAACATCTTTATATTGCTTGGACGTGGTTCCTTTTTTCTTTTTTCTCTTATTGGTTAGGCAATTGGAGTTAAGTGACTTGACGAGGGTCACACAGCTAGTAAGTGTCAAGTGTCTGAGGCCGAATTTGAACTCAGGTCCTCCTGACTCCAGGGCTGGTGCTCTATCCACTGTGCCACCTAGCTGCCCCATTGGTTCCTTTTTTCTAGACACCTTCCAGATGGTCACAATCTTTGCTAATGACAGAGGGTCACTTCAGGCCCAATTAATGTCATTACCAAGATGCTTTATGTCCCATCACCTTTATCAGGTGAAAATGTCTCTTTGATTCACTTATACAACCAGTCAAATATGTATATTACAATTC